TTTTGGTTTATACGTGAACAATAACGTGCTAAGTATTATCCTAAGAAATATTTTGAAAATATTATGATTTGACCGAATGCCCGACCTCTAAACCGACCACTTACTAAATATTCGATCGACCAAATTTGGTAGTAATATTATTTGGAAAATTCATTTTTGGTATATATATATCTATAAATACGTGTAAAACATTATCCTGAAAAATATTTTGAAAATATTATGATTTGGCCGCTCAAACCCCACCATTTAATAAATAAACTTAATTATAATAAATTTTTAATTTTCCAAAAAAAATAATTTCAATATTACAAAAAATTATTCCTCCCTCCACCTTCGTTGAGATTACCTAAATGTTTGGTATTTTTCAAATTCATGAAAATTTAAATCTAAAAATTTTTAAAAAATTATATTTTGGCATTTTCCTAAAGCTAAAATAAATGAAAAGTGAAAGTACGTAAAAAAATAATAAACAAATAAATAATAATTTCAAATATTAGCCGTTAAAATTTAAAATTATTATATAATTATAAATCATAATGTTTTTAAAATGTCTGATTTCCTGTCATATTTAATTTGGTAAGCTGAGGCCGTGCTACTCCCTTCTAATTGTTTTTATTTATACTATATATCTACAATTTTAAAGTAAAGACGATTGATATAAACAATTATCAATATAATACAATTGGTTACAATTTGGTAAACTAAAATATGGCGGAGTTTACATTGTATATAAATCATGGCTTATTACAAAATGGTCGGAAATTTTTAAGGGTATCCCTGATGAGTTAAAAAAAAATATTAATTTAAGTTTGATAAAAAGTAATTTTATAACCTTGTGTTGGCATTTATATGCATAGAACTTTATTTCTGCTCACCCGAGGAGGGTATCCTTAATAAGTTTCCGACCCTAAGACAAGGGAAGTCTATCGACTTTATAATGCTTAGCAAATAGATCTATCGATCATATATAGGGGCTTATCGGCGCTTATAAAATTATGTATTTGGGTTTGGCGGACTATTATCCCCTATATTGGTGTTTTATTTACAAAAATATGTGTACTATATCAATTTATGATTGCTATATAATGTATTAGTGACAAAGGCTATCAAATATTAAAGAGCATGTTATTGCGGGGGAAGTAAGACACGTTCCTCCGGGTCAGTGGAGCGTTCCTCATTGTCCAAGAGTTCGTCCGATCCGACCGTATTATTGCCTTCGGTTAGATTTAACGTTTCGTCAAACTAAACAAAAATGAACTTTTCAATTAATATTACTATCAAATTTGATCGAATATTTAGTAAGTGGTCTGTTTTGAGCTCGCCATTCTGTCAAATCATAATATTTTCAAAATATTATTTAGGATAATGCTTAACACATAATTGTTCATGTATAAACCAAAAATGAAGAATTTTCCATGGATAACCCTTACAATGCAGTATTTAGTCATTGGCCCGGTTTCAAATCGGTTATCTGTCAAATCACAATATTTTTAAAATATTTTTTGGGATAATGATTTACATGTATATATAGATAAATAAACCAAAAATTATCATCCAAATAATATTAATACCAAATTTGGTCGATCGAATATTTAGTAAGTGGTCGAGCTCGGCATTCGGTTAAATCATAATATTTTCAAAATATTTTATAGGATAATGTTTAACACCTAAATATACACGTATAAACCAAAGATGAAGAGATTTTGATCAATAACGCCAGCAATATGTACCTTACAAATTTTCTATTATTTTTCGATTCTAAACCTACTCATTAATTAAATGTCAAAGAAACCTATATTTTTTAAAATTTTTTTTAGATTTTTCACTTGTATTTACACCCAAATATAAAAAAAAGCGCTATTAAATAATTATTCTGGTTTCCTAAGAATATATTTTCAAATTTATGCATTTAACGCCCTCTTATTATATATTTGTTAAATATTGTAATTGAAAAATAAAATTTAAGTTGTAATATAAGAAAATATAAATAAATTTTTTTCTATTAATATTAAATAAAAGTTGAATTTTAAATTATTTGATATTTAATCTCAATTTTTTACTTAATAAAATATTGATTTATGTACATTAAAAAAAATTTTCTAAAAATTATTTTTAAAAAAATATTATATAAAGAAATTTTGATTGATTATGATTAATTGCTTTTAAGCAATGCAGTTTAGCAATGCAGTATTTAGTCATACCGGGTAAATTAGTACTAATTTTTATAATAATATTGATTTTTTGATCGTAGTATAAAATATTATATTAATTTAATTTAAGAATATTTTAAGAAAAATTACAAGGAAGAAATACATCTTTTGCTTCTGTGGACGCTTTGTCACTGAGGAATCTAGGAAAATAATTCCCCGGAAAAAAAATCCCCAAGGAAAATTTCCAAAGAAAATAATTACCCGAAAAAATATTGATTGCTTTTTTATATATAAAAAAATATTTTTAATAGGAATTTAGAAAATAGGAGAAAAATTCCCTATAAATATATCCACGAAATATAGTTTCTGTTATATTAAATAAAATATTATCATAAGTTAACATTTAATTGTAATGGACCTGCCCGGATTTTAGTTTTTTTAAATTTTAAAAATCATACCATTTTTGGCCTTGACCACCAGGTTTCTGTTTTGAATAAATCTAAATTTGAAATTTGTATATTAAATTCATCACTCGAAGTTTCGAGATTTCAAGTAATTAAAAGTAAATTAAATAAATTTTTGTTCGTCTTTAGACATTTTTACCAACTTTTAGATATTTATGGCAAAGTCAAAAGCTGATAATGACAGGAAGAAATTTTAAAAAATATATATTATCATATAATTTTTTTATTTTTACAAATTATTTGAATCTATTTAAAAAAATATAAAATTATTTATCATTTTCAAGATGTCCAATTGGGAGATTTTAATTGAGGATTTTCATAATTGTTTTAAAAATGGTAGAGCATACAAATTATTTTTCAATTAACTGGAAAATAATAAGGATTCGTTTAACATAAATATACTCCTCATATTTTTAATTCCCGCTTATAAAATAGTTATCCCTATAATTTTTTTTATTTGAGCGCTGTAAAATAATCATTGTAATCGTATCATTTTCATCATTCCATCTTAATTTGCTATCACATTTTCTTTCCAAAATGTCAAAAATCTTTTTGATTACTTTTTATGCTATCTCTGCTATATTAAATTAATGGCTCAGAATTAAAACAAACTCCTTAAATATTGAGAAAACTTAAAGCTCAGAAAAATATTTCTCTTATTGCTCAGATATAAAATGGAATAGCCCAGAAAAGGATAACCAGTATAAAAGATAGATTTCTGAGAAAAATATGCGAAAGATTAAAATAATTTATTTTGTTGATTTTAAGAAGATAGTGAGATCTCACTAAAAGTTCTACTAAGAATCCTCGATATGGTCTTCGTTGAATATATAACATGCGAATGTGGATTAGCGACAAAAGTTTTTATCTATAAAATCCATTCGCTTTAATAAATATAAGCGATAAAAAATGACGAAAATGTGTTTTGTGTGTTTCGCTGTCTTATTAGTTTGTTAAATTTGAAACTGTATTGAGTTTGAATAAATCTTCCGAAGATTTTGGAGCAAAAATCTTTGTGATTAATTTTTACTATAAATTGTGATTACAACTTGAGAGTTTTTTTATGTATAGAAATTGCAAAAGATTTAATTATATATAAAGGAACTTTTATAAAAAATATTTACGATTTTTAGGTAAAATTTGATCTCTATTTTCTTTATAAAAGACTTTTGCCCAAATTTTTTTTAGATTAAAACAATGAAAATGATAAATAAGTTTAAAATTATTTTTTGACCAGATATCCATTGCACTTTTTTTTAAATATTATATATTGAAAAAGAGAACCCCTATCAAAAACTACAGCATCACCCCCCCCCCCCCCTCTTCCTCCTGTTTTCATTGAAATTATAATATACAAAAATGATATTTATATATTTACTTCTTTTGCTCAAAATAAAATTGAAAATAATAATTATGACAATTTTTCTATATTCCATCTTCACTTTTATTTCTCAGGAATATGTTTGATTTTTTCCAGGGGAATTTTTTCCTGGTGTTTTTACCGGTAAATTATCTTCCAGGGGATATTTTTCCCTGATTTATTTTCCATGTAATTATTTTTTATAAACCATCACTGAGTTATATTGCAATTACAATATATAACATTATTTGTTTATCTTCCATCCTATAATGTTAAAGAATGAATTTATAGTATATAGACCTGCCCGGGTTTGGCAACCTTAGAAAAATTGGAAACGTGCTGCGCTGGGTATAATCTTGGCTGGGCCGGGTCAAAGCTAAATTCCAACTGGGGTAAGTCGATTCTGTAAATTTTCTATAAAACTTCTAAAATACAATATATCCGTTTTGAACATAAATATAATGAGATTAAATTTGTGATTCTATAAACACTCTCAGAAAAAACCTTTAAACCCGGGGTTCGTTTCTCCAGGTAGACCCTGTGAAGGGTTAATTTTTAAATTACCTATTCAGAACGCATCTAATCTAAACTCTTTTACATATTCATCTAGTCTATTATTCGTTTGAATTGAATAAATAAGGAATTATTGAATCGAATTCGAATAATTAGGGCTATTTTTCGGTAAAATAGTTTTATAAAAAATAATTTTTCATATTTAAAAGCGGTTTTTTTGAAGGAAGTTTTTATTCGTGTATATAAAATTAGTTCCAGATTATTATATACAAAAACAAATATTGTTTTATTATAGAAAGTTCAAAAGTCATAATCAATTACAAATAATATTATATTTTTCTATAATAATTTTATTACATTTTTTTACCTTAAAATGATAGACAAAAATTTTATTAATAAATTATTCTTATTCAATTAAAATTCATTAATATTATAAATATAACTAAAATTATTATTTGTAAATTATAAACATAATATTTTTAAAATCGACATTATTTATTCAAATGATATTTAATGGTTTCAACATCCATTATTATATTATGTCCAGGCCTACTTGCCCTTTTAAGCATAAGTGTATCTGGCGATTCTCCGATTGAAAAAAAGAAAAATATACTCTTTGTAGTCGCAGACGATTTAGGTATAATCCATTTTTATTTGTTATAAAGTTATAAAAATTAAATTCGGGTTTGTAATTTGAACTTTGTGAAATTTATAAATAAATTAAATTAGAAATTATAATAAAAAGATATTGTATTTTAAAATATTAGCATTTTGGTGAAATATATAAAAGCCCTGCATGGGCCTGTCAGAGTCCTCAAATTTTCATTAGGCTGCTCTCGAATCTACGCAAAAAATTTTACTCCTTTTTTTCCTGTTGCCATTATAAATCTCGTTTTTTTAGAAAAATAAATTTATTATTTATACTGTTTATAATTTTCTGCTTTTCTTGAAAAATAAATCGTAAATCCTCTATAATCTAGAAAAAATTTAAATTTGACGGAATCTATTTCTAAAAATAGCAGAATGAACTCGGGCCTTCAAAAATTTTTAGTCTAGACTGAACAGGAAAATTATAATACGCATATTGGTAAAGTTTTTTAGAAGATTAATTAAGCGGTCTAATGAGTCATAATATACTATATATTATATAGAATTGTTTAGCTTAAAATATCTTATTTAAAATATATGAAATGCAAGAAATAATAATTTAATAAAATTTGATACTAATGGATTAAATTCTCACGAGCCTTTGTAAATGCAAAATTTGAGGCGGCATTTAAGAAATTTTGTCGGAATGATGACACTAAATTTTAGTGATATATATAAAAAAGTGGTTTACATTTCTAATTATTTAAATTCTTTTAAGAATAAACTAAAAGTAAATAATCAATAAAATATGTCATTTTATAATATTCTCAAACATCAATATATTTTTTATATAACAAAAGTTAATATTTTTATGTATTAAATTAATTTACTTTACTATTATTCTACTATAATAGATTAAACAACATGTAAAACAGTAGCCTCTCTGGGGGGAGGGCGCAGGAGGCTATACCCCATGAAAAATTTAAAGGGCTTATTCAAAATTTTGAATTATTTTTATACACTAAAAAAAGGTAATTTTGCATAATGTTAGCTAAAAAATAAGGTAAAATTTTTGGATAATGTTAGTTAAGAAAAAAGGTAACTTTAGGTTTAGATGATGTTAGCTAAAAAAAAGAAGGTATAATGTAAAAAAACAAAAAATAATTTTGAAAATAATTTTAAACGAATTTTTGAGCCCCCTGAGATTGTAAAGGCTAGTGACGCCCCTAAAGTAAAATAATCAATACGTAGAAATAACTAATAATCAAATTGCGTGATAATTAATTATTATTATGATGAAAAAGAGACGATTTTTGGAATAGTTTTTCCTTTACCATCTAATTAATTCTTAAAGTTTTTGATACATTTTGAATTGAGGCTACTGATGCCTATTCAATAAATTTGTATTTTGACTTTTAAATTATTCTAGAGGAGGAAAGGCCTTTTAGCAGGTGGAGTTTTCTTGCTGGAATATTGGGAGACGCTTTCATCTAATGAAATAAGATGATTATATAAAATGAAAATATAAGCAATTTGATTCTATGAATATTTTAAAAGATCTCACACCGTTGTACTCTAGGCACGCTTAACCGACATATCTGCTTCATTACCTTGCTATTTTTATCATACAATCATCACTATATCTTTTAAACATTTTATGGATCATAACATTCGATATTCAAATCTAAGATCTGCAAACGGGCTATTTAAAAAAATAAATTTAGGCTGAGTCGGAACGGATTTAAACCAGGGACGTGAAATCTTCGACAACAAAAAAGAGTTCAGGTCCGACTTTGGGTTCATTAATAAAATTTAAAAAGGGTCCGGGTTCAGGGAGCATTAAAAACATGACTCAAAATAAGATTCTTTTTTCATTCATTTATTATTATACTTAATTATATACACATTCATAATTTACAAATAAAAAATTTAAAAATGAAATAAAATGTTTTATTCTATCGCACAATCATAATATCTTCTAAAATATGATCCTTGAGATTTCCACGTAAATTAGACAATATATATTTCAAAGATGAAAATCTATGTTCTACGCTTACCTAAAATAGATAGTTATCTTTATAATACATAAATTATTAAACTTGTGTCGCCGGTACAGCCATGACGATTCTAGACAAGATATAAAATTCTGGGTATATTGAAGGATTTTCTTCCCAGAATTTTAAAATATTTGTATCCTTTTTATTCTCTTAACTTCTGAGAACTATTAAAGATGCAATAGGCATTTTTTGATCCTTCTTTCTATTTGATAATAATTTCATTTTTTTTCTTCTATCTAAGTAAAATTTTAAGTTCATTAATGTTGCTATCATTATCATTATTATCACTATAACCAGTAGTATTGTCCTAGCCTACAAGAAATTGTAAATAACAGAGTTTTGCGTATGCCATATATCTTTAAGATGGTCTTTAGCCATTTGTTTGCAAATATTGTTGCTCTCGAATTTTCAGGTTTTCTAATATTTCGTATGATAAAAGACTAGTAAATCTTTCTAAATCTAATCGGCATCTAATCCATATGCCATAAAAATCAGATAAATATAATTGTTCTGATTGTAATCTTAATGTTGTTATTTTTAAAGGAACTAATACACTAGCAAGGTCCTTTATTTGGCATCAATCATCTTCCGACAAAATAACTTCACACGCTTCTATAATAAAATCATTACAAGAATCTTTCAAACTTAATAATCGTTCTAGCATATACAAATTGAGGACCAACGTGTTGTGCAATCTAATATTGTCATTGCCCTTTTCATTTATTTTAATATTCTTACAATTGTAGGAGTTCTTAAATGTTTTGCAACATCTCTTGCTTTATCAATGATAGTTTAAAGTGATTACTTTTTAGACAATCATTAATAGCCAATATAAATTTACATAATAAAATATTATTACCTACACTAGAAAATAATTTATGATATCAATCTTTAAATAAAATGGAAGTCCAGGAAGAAAATTGAAAGAAAAACGCGGAGATAAAATAAATGATTCCACTAAAATAGTTAATAAAATTTAAAAATATTTATATTATTTTTTAAAAAAAAAATTCTATTTTTAAAAAATTCTTATGACACCTTGGACCCTCCACTTTTAAAAACGGTCCGGGTTCGGGTACAAAATACGAGGGTCCGGGTTCAGATTCCTGATGTAAACTTTGAAATATAATATGATTCAATTTTTATTTTTAATTTTTTGCAAGAAAAAAGGCGCCAATATTTTTTATTTAGTTGTAGAATATAAAAGGCGCCAATATTTTTTATTTAGTTGTAGAATATTTTTTTTGTAATTAAAATAATATTAAATTTTTTTTATTTGTAGGAAACTAGGCATCTTTTAACTTTTTAAAAATTGAAAAATCTTATAATTTTTTATAGAATCTTTTATATTAAATTAATAAATAAAATATACAGTTTAACATTAAAAATAGATTATAGGAGTAAAGTATTGAATAATTTTGAAGATTTATTGACGAAAAGAACAAAAACTCGATTATGTTCAATGTAAAAAATGTAAAACTATATTACAATATAAAAGTATATATGACAATTCTCATTTAAGACGCCAAAAATGAGTTAACTCGAATGAGGATTCATCTATTCCTAAAATAATTAAATATAATAAGTAAAAATATATTTAAAAAAGTAAAAAAAAATTCAGGCCGAGTCGACAAATTTTTTATTTCGGGTCGGATTTTTCGGCACAAATAAAAAAATACTTTGGGATCAAACCGGCCCTGTAATTTTTTAAGAAAGGTTTTGGGCCAGGTTCAAAAAATTAGGCGCGATGCAGATCACGAATTTAGATATTAACCTAGATATTTTTTTTCATGGTCCACTAATAAATTTAAAAAAAATAGATCCTGAATGAATTTTTTGATAGACTAGGTTTTTCATTACAGGTCTCCATTTCATGCCACTTTTACAGAACCTTCTTTTGACAAGTTAGGTACTTGCCTATTTTCCATTAATAAGCCTACAACGCCACGTTCGCCTATCTCATGGAAAAGTAGACATGATTTGTCATGATGAAGCAAAACCTTGCGATTCTCTGGAGGAATAAATTATTAGAAAATCTTTTCCTGAGTGATCATCCTATTGCGAGCTTCTTTTGCTTATTATTTGGTCACAGAAGGGCCTGGAGCATAATCATACCCGTGACTTTTCATAAAGAATGCACATGATAGGTTACCATGAACGCTAACTTCTCTATGAATTAACGCTATATAGAATCCCTACAATCGGTCAAAAACATGTATTCGGGTTTGTTAGTATTTGCGAGCTCAGGCTTAAAAAAATAATATTTTCTCTTTTCTTAAAAAAATTGGGATTAGGACTAAACCATAGTAATTTTTATTTCACACGTCTGAAGACTTAATTTGCGCAATAAAAATTTTTGGTCGGACCGAGCTAGGGGTTAAATTTAAAAATCAATTGCCCGGACTGGGTTCTGCGTAAAAAAATAAAATTTGAAGGGCTCCAAAACTATAAAAGAAAGAAGAAGTTCAAATAAATTATAAATTAAAACAACTCGTCTGGCTGCTCAAATTATCATCAATAATGTATCCTTCCTATAGATCCTGAGCTATCACAGGCCCACACCTTTTGGGACAGCAATTTCTCGTTCACCCTCTGCCGTCCTGCCTCCAGAATTCAAAAAGACTGGGATGCTCCTCTGATCGCCCGTTCCGTTGAATACCTAATTTCGAACAGGCTCTTTGATGACAATCTCAATAACTTAGTATTATATGCAAACTCAGTCTATGAATGGTTGGAAGCCATCCCCAGTTCCAATCTGGGCTTCCTCATGACTGGCAAACAGCTATGTATATCCATGGCCTTTTACCTTTGCTGTAATTCTGTAGTTCCCTCCATTTCATCGATTATGGCGAGCCCATCGAATCAAAAGCTCAATATTTCTTGCACTGCAAATTCTCCACTGGACGACAACCTCTTCATAAATCTATAAACAACATTCTTCTAGCTGCCCTTAAAAGTTAATATTCTATTCACCCACGAACCAATGTGCCTTTCAAATAAAAACACCATACCGTTGGTGTATCACCCTGGACTAATAGTCTCCCGCTTACTTAGGACTATAAGTCGATTCAGCAAAATCCAACCTCTCATTTTCTGATCGAAAAGGCAGAAATTCTTAAAGATATAAATACACTGGCTTCACCAACACTGTGTTCATACTAATCGTTACCAATACCTTAGGCATGTTAGGAAGTGAGACACTCAATTTCATTAAAACCATAGGAAAAAAAATGAGACAGGTCTCAAGGGACCCCAACGAAGAATTCGTCAGTAGATTTCTCTTGAAATCTGCCTGTCCCATTCTTTGAGCAATCACTCTTCTCAGGTGATATATATCTTTTTTTGATATTTTTTCTTAGTTCTTTTTTATTGTTTTTCTTCATAGAATATATGCATATATTTTTTTATATATTTAATTTTTAATATATCCCTATTTGTTTATTTTAAAATATATTTTTTAATTCAATGGTATATATATAAATGTTTATGTTTTAAAATAAAATAAGATTTTCAGTTAAAAAATTATTTAGAATAGAATAATAGGGCATAGAAGTCTGTCTTCCCTTTATTATTTAAGTTATCCCATTATTTATTATCTATTTTTATATTTTTGCTAAATTCTCTTAAACAAAAATTTGAGTATTTTTTGCTTCTTCAAAATACAATTTATAAATTAGATAGTTATAAATTATAGCCATGTTGCAGCTTTTCAGAAACTTGTTATACGATCGTATTTATAGAATTTTATTCTGCCAAAAATGGTCAGATATTCATTGAGATATGCCAGTTTTAAAATCATTACATTTTTTAGGTGGTCCCTTAATTTCTGGAAAAAGTGTGCATACCTCAGGAATCCAGACTCAGACACATTCCGTGAGGCCGATTAAAAAATAAACCCGCTCTGGGACGTAAAAACGAATTTATTTATCAATTAATCCTATGGAAAATCATAGAATGGAGCGTTTATTACTTATTTACTTTTTGTATTTTAATTTCCCTTTAAAACAATTTATAAAATATAGCCAAAATTCCTGGATAAATTCTACAAAAATTCAAAGAGGGCCTAAAATTTTGACCAGATCTCTGGTACACATCAGAGATCTATGTATATTAGTTTTTATTTAGATCTTTAAATTTAATAATGATATAAATTAATAATATATTTGCATAGCGTTCCCCTTTTATCTAGTCAGTTAATTCCAGATTACAAAAGGATATATTTAGGTCTACTAATACTTATAGATCTTTAGCAAGAAACAAAAACTTGTGTTAACCTTATTACATTTGCCATGAGCCAAAATGTCATTCCTACTGGCTGCATTTACAGTGAGCATTAAAATAGCCTGATTTTGTTTGATTTAGGCATTTCAAATTGCTGGAGAATGATATCACGCTTCTTTGCAATTTTTATTTTTAGCCTTAGAACAGTTATATCGCCCGATTCATGTGACATTTTTGAAAACTGAGAGCTTTAGATTATCTATGTGTAAACTAAAATTTGGATATAAATATTAAGTTATAACAATATATCAATTTTACTTAACTTATTTTGCATAAATTTAACTATTTTTTATATTTGTTGTAGAATGTATTTTACTTTACATAAATATTTGATCATTTGGATAAAAGATGTCTGAAGAAATAATCAACTAGTAAAAATATATATCGTCGTTACTACTACAAGACCTAGTAAGTAGCATTTTTGAAATTGTTCAGGAGAGTATTTAACTGTTATTATAATTTACTTTTTAATGAATTTTAACTTTTATTTATATTACTTCTTCATTAGAATGGTTTTAAAAATAAAATATTCACATATGCGACCCATATGCCACTTACGAGTTTTTGTTTTAAAATATGTGCCTCTTTGATCAGTTACGAGGTTTTTATTGATAAATTTTTTATAAAAATTATTTTTGCCTAGTATTATCTCACTAAAGTTGATAATAATATTAATGATGTTTCGGCGTTTGCCAAAGAGTTAATCTAATTTACAGTTGCTAATCCTTCGATATTTTTGCTCATTTTATGAGCTAATATTAATAAAATTTTATAAATATCAAAAAATTTTTTTTTAATCATGGAAATCAGGGATATTGTTATCTCATGGCAAGTATTTCATTATCAAATAATTTTAATATACCTTGACATTGGATTGGAATTACCCATAAATAAATTTATATACGATACTACTCAAATGGTTTTGAAAATGTATAACAAAAATTTGTTGATGAAAATTTTTAAATGCAGATTAAAATCTCAACTTTTTACCAATAAAATTATAAAAGTTTCAGACCAAATATTTATTCTAAATGATAAAACATATTAATGTATTAACTTTTATTATAAATTGTATTTTGTTAATTTGGATTTAAGCTATGATTTATTGTAATAGATTAAATAGATAAAAGATTTTGTAAAAGTATATATGGATATATATTAACTCATTTGATACATATAATATACAAAAATAAATACTATTTGATAAATACCACACATATCAAGTAAAAGTATTGACAATAATTATGTTAATTTAATATCTTAAAGATGTAAAGCCCTGGCACAGTCTCTGGTTTAGTTTATATTAGCCATTTTTAAGCAGACATTTATTTTTAATACTAAATTTAATAAGAACACCATAAGCCATGAATTTCTCTCTTGCCAAGAAACACAATATGAAGATTGCATAATTTGTTACCTATTTCTCAGACAAAAAAATAAATATTATCTAATTTTTTACACATTTTCTGGTTTATATTAAAACTTTAGTTCGCTTCGCTACGCCAGAATGAGACTCGTTGCCATAGAGCCTTGGGTTGATGCAACGTTTGGATTAGTATAGAGGGAACAATTCTCAATTAGTAAATATTATCTAAGCCTCTAGATTTTGGAAATTGAAGGAAGAAATAATGGACTCTAATTAAAAATTTAATTATTTAAATTTAGTCTTTTAAGTTAAATATATTATATAATTTTGCCTTATTCATATTTATATAAAACGTTTTTATCCCTTGCCCTATTATGCACTACTAATAAGGTTTATATAACCTTCGTTTTATATGATTTATTCTAAAAAATTACCCGCTTTCTGCCGATAGCTAGAGTTAACTATATTCTCACCTATACCCAAAATCTAGACATTTTTGGTAATATTTATTGATTGAGCATTGTTGGCTCATCACTAATTTAAACGTTACTGTTCACTCTAAGCGCTAGGCCAACCAGTCGTACACTCTAGGTGAAACAGGACGAGAGAGCGAGCGTAGTGTTGCAGACCGAACGGTGGTTTCAATTTAACATTTTTAATAATAAAATTTTACTTATATTATATATTTCTCAATTTTTTAATTAATTTTCTACTCTTTTAAAAAATATTTAATTATATTAGTTTTTATTTTTTTACCATATATAAGAACATATATGAATTTATAGAACTTCTGACTAATATTATATGTTTTGATGTAAAAATATATTGAATTCTAATAAAATTGTGTTCTAATGCTTTTATAATGTAAGAAATATATTATGAATCTTTTATAAATAATTTTAAATTAGAAAAATTAAAGAAAATTTAGAAAAAGAAAAATGTCCTGTAGCTTGTGATAAATCATTTGTTTACAATTTTGATTATCTTTGCTTCAATCTCATTTTGAGATGATAAACATACAAATAAAATATTTTAAAATAAAATTAATTTTGTCGAATCCCAAATTTTTTTTCCAAAAAGTTTAGTAAGAATAATGATTAGAATTAAAAGTCGATAATCTTAATTTGAACAACAATGCATCTGGAGCTCTTCAATAATAGAACAACTCTATATCTAAAGATATAATTAAATGTTATACTCATATTATTATATACATAGTTATTAATATGAACGCGTAATTTATTTAAAATTGTATAAATCGAACAAAATCAAATTAAATAAAAAGGTTGGAATGATGTGGGATGGAATAATCTAGAGATGCCAACTCCCAATTTAAACTTCTTAGCGCAAAATGGCATAATACTTAACCAATCATATGCTCTACCTATATGCACACCGTATAATATATTTTTTATTAATAAATCTATGTTCAGATTAAACATTAATAGTTAGGTGACCGTTTCTATATTCTAGAGGTGGCTAAAAAATATTCAATTGATTTATATACGGTATAAACACCAAAGGTTTAATTATGAGTATTAATTATTTAAGTCGAGGTCGTGTCGTTTCTATATATTGAATAAATGTTCAGAGTAAATTTAAAATAAATTTATAGAAATTTTATATCAACAAATAAGCTATAAGTTAGCTATTTAAGTTCAATTTTAAGTATTATTAGGTTCCATTTTAATGCTTCTTTTATTTTATATCTTATAAAAAGTATATAATTTATATAAATATATATTATCAAAGTATCGTCACATATACACTCTTTTATAATCGTACAATAGAGTTAAAATGATTATTCAATTTAGGATCCCCTTTAAAATAGCTAAAATTCGTAAACATATAAAGCCCTGTATTGCATGGACCTATTTATAAATTAGTAAACTTAAAAACGAAAGGGATTCTTTATCTCTATGGTTAAGTAAAACCATTTTATTTTTTCCCGCGTTTTTCATTGATAATGTTGAAATGTGTATTCAAATACACATTATGTATAAAAGTTAAATAAATCCAAATTTCAATTTATTTTATTCAATATAATAAATGATGTACAATTGTGTAATCTAATAATTATAATATAATATTTAGTTCATATGAAAATCTGTAAAGCAATTATAATTGGTGTGAAACAAAGAGTCACACCACATTTTAAACACTGGTAAATTTCTGGATTTATAATCCTGAAGATATAAAAGCTATGAATTTATTAATATCATGTTACTTTTATATGGATTTTATATAGTGATAGTCAATCCATAAGATCAACACCTCCCATTAATTTGTTGGGATCCAACAATGCCAGAGATTTTACATTTATCAGAAGTTTTGTTTTTCTATCCAACGTATGATTCATTCAAGATGCTCGGCAAGTGAACTGGTAGATTATCATGCCATTTAATTGCCCTAGGATTTATGCCGTTGTTATATAATGTGACACTGTGTGCACTTTTAAATATATAATTTAATAAAATAATTTATAATGGAAAATAATTAATACTTAAATATAAGGCTTTAATTTCACGAAGTTTTATGTAAAAATAATAAAGAGAAATGATTTTTAGATATAATCTTATTTATTGCGTTGCCAATATTGTAGTCCTAAAAATTGAGATAGGGGCATGATATTATTCTAAAAAGATAGTAGGGTGGCCCGCTAAATGAACAAAAAAATTGAGACGAATTTTTGTCACCAAAAATTTGAGGCAAATATTTTTTGAAAATTTTTATTTATTTTTTTCAATAGCTTATATCGAAGCATTTCATATAAAATACATTATATTTATATTACATAAAATAAGGATTTAGAAAGTTATATAAATAATTGAAATATATTGTAAAAAATATAAAAATTAACGTAAATTTTTAGAATATATTTCATAATTAGATAAAAATAATTATATTATTTTATAATAGAATGCATAAATCGGAATAGATCAAGAAAAAGTGAAAATATGTTACAATATTCGTCATTGCGAATCGTTTTCAAGATTTTTAATAATATTAACTGTGCGCTTCCTTGATTGACTATCGTCTGCAAACTTATGACGTATCAACACCTTTTTAATATATGGATCCCACTGACTGAGAGTATATGTTTATCATCATTAAACTGGAAATAGTTTTAATAAGACTTAATCCGTCATATAGACATTCATAGTAAAAACAATTTGGAAGCTCTTTCAAATCATGAGGGCATTTAATATTTTCATCAATAATTCCCTCATCTTTTTCATTACGAGATCCACATTGAGCGTAAGTGGGAAATAAATCCGTTTAATTTGTTCTTCCCCATAACGAATGTGAAGGTCTGTTATATCTTTTTTGAAATATTCCATATCAGATAGGATGGTTAAAACTTTATAATTGAATATAGTATCTTTAATTACTAAAATTATCGGTAGCATCCATTAACCTATTTTGCATATTGTTTATTAAGCCAGATTATTTTATTTTCGTTGATACCATGCCATCTGCTTTCCTTTATCATTCTGAGATATTTTCATATTTTCTCCTTTACAAATCGTCGTCCACCGAGTTTAGATTTTTTTTATCTTCACTTTTTGTAATTTTCCATTATTCCATCTCGACTTTTTGTAATTTTACAGGAGAGCATTTTTAAAAATAAAGTTTCTATTGTTTTCAATATGATGGTTAACCTTAAATTGGCTGTGATTTAATTTATTTCATAAAATTTAGGTTTTTTAGGTAATTAGAATAATGTATTTATAAAAAATTGATTTATATAAAAAGTCATTTTTAAAAAAATATAAGTAACCACATTTTCAAGAGGCAAAATATTAAATAAACACTTATTTAGAAACTGTAAAAGAGTTAGAACCTCCCAGGCATAACCTTAAACAATTTTAGAAAAAGCGTTATGTAAACTGATTGTTCTTGTCGGAACCCTAAAAACATATTGGATAATATAAATAACATAATACATTAGGGCGATCTGATAAGAATTTACACTTTATAACCTGGTGAACAGCACGTAAATTTTACAATGTTGATAAAGTTTGTTCAATTTGAGATGCATGGGTATTTCTTTGTTATTTCAAACTGCTCTAACAGTATAAAGACTGCTGGACACCTATCGTACATCAAGTACCCTTTTTTCAGTAACTGAATGCCCTATTGAGACGTTATTTGATCCAACGCCTTTTGAAGACTGGCTATATATACTATATTAATAAAGGCTTCAAAGTGATTAAACTTTAACCCATTTTATTGCATCGGACACCGCTAATTACTAACGATGATTTAAACAATGCCAGGGTATGATCGCTGGATATAGTGGGCAAAGGCACTTTGCTAACCAAATTTTTTACCAGTAATGATACTGGCGCCATCGCTAATAAAGTATATTTAATTTTTTGCAATTTTTTTTAGAAAACATAACGCCTTTAAGAGGATCCAGTAAGGTATGAACTATTCCCTCTTCCTCTTTTGATTCTAGTTCAATTAGGTTTAGAAATTTATAAATTCATCATAAGAGGGCTCCAATGCCAATTTATGTAAATCTAGTCCGGTTTTTTGGCAACCTAATAAATTTCACTTACCAGGATTTCTGATTGCAAATTGTAATTTACAATTTTTTGCATTTTCTTAGTAAATTATTAAAAAGCCAGAATATTTAAAATGCATATTATATCCCTAATCCAAGCCGGTGTGTTCTTATAAATTTGTTAACTCAAAATCCACAAATGAGTGATTTGATTTTAAAAACAGTATTCAATATCTTGGTTTGTTTATCAATGTGATTAACATTTCTAATGCATGCTGGTTTTAAAAATAATTTGTAAGACGGCTGGTCAAAACTGATACCCCGACGTTTCTGTATTTTTATTGGATATTCTTTTTAAAGAACCAAATAAGATAGGAAAGGTTCGTTTTTGAATTAGACATACATTATATATTACCATTTTATTTATAAAATATTTTATGTTTATTTCATGATAAAAAATATTAATAATATGCTAACGTGTCCCCTACTTTTTTGGAAATTTCTGGCGGGTGCACTGTGTATCCCCACATGTTCCCCCTCCCGACTACATCTCTGTGCGTTGCTGATAAACTTGTTTTTGTAATAATGTTGTCAATTGAAATAATTATAAAATATATTTTAATAGATCTATGTTGATCAATGACACTTTTCAAATATATTTTAAACATTCCTTTTTGAATATATGGATCAAAAATAATAAAATGAATAGAAGGTTTTATATTTGATTATAAGTCAAACGTGTACTCAAATGAGCGATATGTGCAGTACAGGGAATATAATAAAAATATCCAAATTGAAGTATATAACAATACCCAATCTTGAATTATATTATTCCCTCTCGATTTAATGTTAAGTCAGAAAGATTTTACTTAAAAATAAAGGTTCCCGTTCTAAATCGCTAAAATAAAAAAAATTGGGAATCTCGATCTCCTAGAAAATTTTTAAAATAAATTTGAAATAATTAGTATTAATAGATGCTATGGAAGTAAACACTATATTTAGATTGAGTTTTTTTAAAAAATCCAAAAAAATGAGGAATATATCATTAATATTCCTTAAAGTTCTTCCCAATTCTGGGAACAATCGATTTTTTTAAAACTCAAATACAAGTGTTTACTTCCTACTATCATTTATTAATATTTACAATATTACTTTTGAAATTTTATAGAAGACACAAGCAACCCAGTTTTTAGCGATTTTTGTTTTAGCGAATTAGAATCTATCCCAAAACAAATTAATGACATTTAAATTGTAATGTATGATCTTTTATCAGAAAATAATTCGGATTCGTTATTGTAAAATTTATTATATGGTTATTCTATTTTGTCTTGTGTAAAGTGTAAGCATATATTTTATTTTTAATTAAAATTTATCACAGATCCAGAACGGCTTTTATGACGGGAACTTATCCCTATAAATTGGGATTACAAGTAAAAAATTGAATATATATATAATAATATATACAAAAATTAGAATAAAATTTGTAAAGGATGAAAGTTTTAATCTAATATTTGAATTTTTCAAGCAAAACAAAAGAGGATAAGTTGGTGGAAGAGAGTATCATAGTACAAAATACACATGAGATTTATCTTAAATAAATTAATGACCAATTTGATCTGAAAAGATTTATCACAAAGAAATATGGAATTAAATTATAAAATGTGCAAACAAAAATTTAGCATGTCAGTTACAAATATCCACTATTCAGTCCTTTATAAATTTCTTTTTTTTAAAGTAAGGAATGGTTTCTATTTAAGATGCTGACGATTTCATAAATTTATAAATAATAATAACTTAAAACGTTCAGTCAAATGTTATAGAACTACTTCAACCCAATGCCATTAGTCTAAATCACACATTGCTTCCATCAAGACTAAAGCGACTAGGATATTCTACCCATATGATTGGAAAGTATTAATTAAAAAAAAATTGTTGATACCATTGGCGTCGTAGGGAGTGTGTGTAAAGAGGGCTCAAACCCCTGAAAAATTTTGATGAGTCCCTTCATTTTATTTATTTTTAAGAGAGTTTTCTAGAATATTATGTCCATTTATATCTATAAAAGAAATTTCAGAGCTTATAACCGGAACAAGAACATATTTAAAAGAATTAGGAACATTCCGACCCTCTAACATGCAAGCAATTTATACATATCAGAGGCCTATAAAAGTATTATTTTCAAGGCCCAGCCAGTCCGAATTTTTTTAGAGGCCTATAAAAGTATTATTTTCAAGGCCCAGCCAGTCCGAATTTTTTTAAAAAATTTTTGGCCCGGCCGGGCTCGGTTATATTTTTAAAATAGATTCATTTATTTTTAATTATCATAGCTAAAAATGGCGATTTAAAATATTCGGTTTTAAAATATAATGCCCGGGTAGTTAAAAAATTTTTTTTTAAAGCCCAGCCGTGGTATTTAAAATACATTTCTTAGACCCCACCCGGGGTCTTAGGGCTAGGCCGGGGTTGCAGGTCTCTGATATATATTATTAAATGTTGTTTAAATCATTTTAGAGGGTATATTATTTAAATTAGAAATTTTTTTTAAATTGTTTTAACAGATTGGAACTGGAACTAACCTTGTAATTGGGTCAAGTATAACAACCAAAATCATAACTCACAACCCACTTTTTATAATTTTAAACCAGTTTTTAAAAAATATTCCGAGCCAAAACCAGAACCCTTTTTAGTCCAGGTTCCAAACTTTGGCTAATTTTACCTGAGAAGTATTTTGCACGTTTATTGTGTTTATTACCATAGCTCGGCTGAAAAAATAATATCTTTTTATTTTATATAAAACATTTTGACAGGAGGGTGAGTATATATTCTTTGGATAAGGCTACCTAAAAGGTTTTTGTTTTATCCTTGACTGTTTAGCTGAAAGCTTCGGTCTTTTTTGTTGTAATGTCATAAACCAAACCAAATATTTCTTCCTTCTATAATGAGTCTATCTGATATCGTTTTAAAATACTTTATTTGTTTAAACTTTATATGTTTCTAATAGTAACTTCTCCTATTAACTGAATTTATTTCAAATAACTGGAAATAAATGAGATATAGGCGAAGAAATTAGAGGGACATAATTTACATTGTTTTCTAGGAGGGAAGGGGCATATGCTTGGTCATGCCATATGTAATACGCCATATAGGAATTTTCTAAGGGGGGAGGGCTATTAGATTTATTTTTTCCTCATAAAATTTATTTGAGATATTTAGGTCCACTTATTGTAGGTTATTGCTATATTAGATTTTACAAAAATAATTTTGGGTTTTCACTTCTTTAAATTAAATTTTTTTTTGAATTATAGTCATTATTTAAAAAGTTATTAACTCTTACTAATTTTTCTTTCAAATTCTTCCTTATAATGGTACATTTTTTGTAGTTAATCAATATATTTTAGCCAAAAAAGAAAGCGCAATCTTCAATATTATGTTAATAGATGTCCAAACCTTCCTGCCATTTAAAATTTTCAGGCTCGCTAATATTTTTTTGGCTAAAATATTGGGTTAATAGTTTTAAAAATACAGTCTAGTTTTAAAAATACAGTCGTTTAAACACTATACTTAAAATAATGAGATATGAAAATGAAATTCTCCAAGTTGGATAAGTGCAGAGACGCCACTGATTAATATCAAGTTTTAAAGATTCTTTTCATTTTTATAATCGGCACCGCATTTTTAAACAAAACCATTTTTTAAAAGAATGATTTTTTTCCCTAAGCTTGCACCAATTTTTAGAAAGATTTGTTCATACAATAATAAAGACTTCTTTCTTAATTGTATATAAGTAAATGTTTTGGAATTTACAAATTTTTACGTTTTTGCTTTCCCAATCCTGATAAAAACTGATGCTTTATTGTCAACAAGTTGTATACCAATTCATTCATCAAATAAATATTAAAGAAATTCTATTAAGAATTATTCGTATAGGAATAATTGGATATTTTTATTTATATAACGCTGCTTTTCATGATATAAAAATGAAGTTATAATAAATATCGAAATTTAGATGGCATTTGGGGTTTTGCAACAAAAAGTTTGTTCCGAATTCAAGAGGGTTCGATTCATTTTTTGGATATTACTTAGGAGGCCAGAACCATATATACCATAATACTTGTAAAATGATCTACATTAATATTTATATATAAAACTTATAGAGCAATTAGCCGAGGAGGGGGGTAGGGTTATATTTATATACCCAAGTTATAAATAAAATTAGTAGGGGAAACCGGGGCACTTTAAGTACAAGTGAACATCAGTCCATTCCTATTATAATATAAACTATTATTTTATAAGACTGGAAATTTAAGCCCAATATAGATAATTACGTCATACTTGATTGGCTAAAAAAGAATAGAAAGTGTTTAGTATTTTAACTTTTACAGAGGAAAATGGGTTTTAGTATGCCAAAAGTTACAAAAAGTAATTACAAACTTCATCGTTTAGATTAAAAAAGCTTTTATATTAATAAATAAAATTTAGGGAAAGTTTAAATCCTAGTTTGGTCTGGGTCATGGTAGGTCATAGGATGGTTGGTCCTATTGATTATTGCATAAATATTTTTTATTTTGATTAAAACAAATGCTAATAATTTTCAATGAATATTTATGAATCTAAAATATTAAATTTTTAATATAATCTCAATTACAATTTCGTTTTACTTTTTATATTCATTAATTAACTAATATTATTTCAATCTACAGTGTTGTGATGATTTAATGAAACATATTGACGACTAAATTAAAACCCATCCATATAAAATTATTTTCTTTGCAAAAATAATTAAAATATAGACAAAGCATTATTGAAAATTCTTTTATTACTCCTTTTGTTATTTTAATTATTTTTGCAAAGAAAATAATTTATATGGATGAGTTTTAATTAAATCGTCAATATGTTTCATCAAATCATCACAACACTGTATTAACTAAAAACTATTCAATTAATCAAAAAGCTTAGTATAAAGTAAAAAATGATTATAAATAAGTTATAATTTTCACAATTATTGGAAAAAATATATAATATTAGTAAATCACGATTACAGGGTTTCCCATTCAAAAAAGGAAAAGTCCCAATCAAAAAAGGAAAAGTTTCAATCATAAAAGGAAAAGGTCTGATCAAAAAAGGAAAAAGTGTCAATCGAAAAAGGAAAATTTCCGAAAGGAAAGGAAAAGTGTCAATTAAAAAAGGAAAATTCCCATTCAAAAAAGGAAAATCGTGATTTTTTTAAATTAATTTTTCTTAAATTTTTATTTATTTTTGTTATTCCTTCTTAATTTATTTAAAAATTTTTGCCAGTTTTTTTTCTTACTGTATCTTTTCTCAATTTATTTCTAACTTTGTGCGATTTTCTTTACTTTTATTTTTCTTACTATATCTTCTCTCAATTTATTTTTCTTCTCATTTTTGATAATTCTTTTGTATTTTTAAAAATAATTTATAAATTTAGATCCATTTTTTTAAACAATTCTTTACGTTTTCTTTTCATCATACATATTTATGATTTTTTCATTGTAATCTTTTACATACATTTCTTAACCTTTTCAATCTCTTTAAGTCATTTTTAATCTTTATTTTTTTGAGCATTTCTCAATTTTTTTCTTCTCATTTTTGATAATTATTTTTTAAAATTATATTTAATATTTTTGGCAGACAATATAATTACAATTGCTAAATTAAATTAATCGTTTGGTTATAATGAACCTTTTTAAAATTAAATAAGTTTGAGCTGTAATACCAAACGATATGTTAATAAAATATAATCATTTTTAAATTCTTATTTTTAAAATTATCAAAAATGAGAAGTAAAAAAATTGAGAAATTTTCAAAAAAATAAAGATTAAAAATGACTTAAAGAGATTGAAAAGGTTAGAAATGTATGTAAAAATCATAAAAAGAATATTGTATGTATTATGAAAAGAAAAAGTAAAAAATTGTTAAAAAAATAGACCTAAATTTATAAATTATTTTTAAAAATACAAAAGAATTATCAAAAATGAGAAGAAAAATAAATTGAGAGAAGATATAGTGAGAAAAATAAAAGTAAAGAAAATCGCAAAAAATTAAGAAATAAATTGAGAAAAGATACAGTAAGAAAAAAAACGTAAAGAAATGGCAAAAATTTTTAAATAAATTAAGAAGGAATAACAAAAATAAGAAAAATTTAAGAGAGAAAGAAAGAAAGAAAAAATTACGATTTTCCTTTTTTGAATGGGAATTTTTCTTTTTTGATTGACACTTTTCCTTTCCTTTTGGGAATTTTCCTTTTTCGATTGGCACTTTTCTTTTTTTGATTGAACCTTTTCCTTTTTTGTTTGACACTTTTCCTTTTTTGATAGGACTTTTTCCTATCTTTTTGGAAATTTTCCTTTTCTGTTGACACTTTTCTTTTTTTGTTTGGACCTTTTCCTTATTTGATTGAACCTTTTCCTTTTTTGATTGGGACTTTTCCTTTTTTGAATGGGAAACCCTTTATATAAAGTCATTAATTTTTGCTGTCTTTTATTGATTGAGATCCAAGTTTCCTTTTAGCGCCAACGTTATAATTGGGAACAAAGTAGCCTAAGTCTATTCTATACATAGGATGTTCAATTAGGGAGTTTCGATTGTGAGTATAAAGCTGAGTTAGTTTCATTTTATTATGTTTAGGGCTAACCTTTGACGTAAGTAGAATCCCTCATTGAGATCCTCGGTCCTAGTAGAAATCTGTTTTCCCAGCTTTTTAAAGAAGGCCTGGGCGTGAGAGCCGTGTGATTTTAGAGTGGTGGCGATTAGTGGTAGTAATGTATAGTTGGTAGAAGCGATGGCCAATATTTAGCTTATTCCTCTCGGCGTCTAGTAGAACATCTCTATTTATACTGGAAGGAGCAAGAGGATCGATGCATGAATAATCCCAAGTTAGGAATTCCCCCCTCTTCCAAGGGATATCATGGTAGAACTATCAGGCCACTTTCCAATGAAATTGTAAAGGTTAGTAGGTTCGAAGGTTGATGAGATGCTGGCAGATTTTAGGGCCCTGGCAATAGTATCATTGCATTTTGAATGCCTAACGAATCTGCCTCTACAGCGCTTGCAGAGCAAAGCGTTACGGCCTGGAGTTGATAGACGTCTGACAGAGGATATAGTGATAGGGTATTACCATACCACAATTAAGTCTAAGACCGATGGCAGGACGTAGCTCATCATTGCTTAGGAGCTGGTCAAGGTTTTGCGATAAGAAAACCTTGAGAAATTGGTACCCGGGGTCTGCGGAAATGGAGAAGAGTAGAAAATGGTCCTCGGGTTGGCTTCTCGATTTAAGGTATGCAACGGAGTTGCCAACTAGACGTTTATCCAAGTCTTTCTGTAGTGCCGATGAGGATGTTTTGTGAGTGTGTGTATGATAGCCTCGCAAGAGAGGCGAGAGGATGAACGCACTAAAGGAAAGTAGGGAAGACGACCTCATGACAATGCCGCCGGATTTTGTTGGTAAGGTAGCCTGTAACTAAGATAGGTCTCCAAATTTAAGATTGAGTATATCTTCTGAGGCGTTTAATCTCGAGCTCATGCGCAGAGAGGTTGACATCGTATTGAAAGATTCGTTACGATCGGAGTAAATATAAAATCTTGGGATTATAAGGTGGTTCTTCAATAGGAAGAAAGCTTGGTGGGCAGGGAGGCGGGATAGTGTTTCGCGCATGAGGGATATCTCTCGTAAAATATCGGCGAAGAACTTAATAAAAGACTCATCTTTACCTTCTGGAGATCCGAGATGTGTTAAAGCGTTCAATGGTGTATGATTGAATATAGGATCATGCTTAAGGTCAATGATCTTAAGAGGACAATATTCGCTCTTGTTTTGATTAATTCGCAGTCCAAAACTGCTCTCGCTGGATTTTATTATTTTGTTTGCCTTCATAACTTTATCCGGTAGGCCGCCTAGTATACCATCGCCGATATACCAATTATAAAGATTTAGTTTGCATTGCTCATTTATGCCTTGTATAAGGCTATTAATGCTCGGAAAGAACAAAAAGGTACCTAGAGAGTCAACTTATTGTATTCCATCGCTAGAAGGAATCAATCTATCTCCAAATTGAAGATGCCATAACAATCGAAGATAAATTGTGAGTATTCTGGGTAGAGGGTGAGGATAAGATTTAGAAACGCTCTACGCCTTAGAGAGTTAAAGGCGTTCGAAAAGTCTATTTTAACATATTTTAATTTTTTTTGTACAAAATTCTTAAAATTACTTAAAATATCTAAATTCAATTATATATTAATGTCCTTTAAACCCTCTAGTATTATAATAATATCAAAAAATAATTATATTTTATATTTAGACCCTAATTTATTTTGTGGACCAACTATTCAAAATACGACAAGGTTGGGTTAAAAAATATAACTATTTCAAATAGCCTATACTTTCAGGATTGATATGTTTTATTTCAGATTAATTGAATTTATTCAGATTTAAATAAAAAGTGTCCCAATCTACCCCCGTCTCCCCTAAATTATAAATAAGGAAGTAATATACATGAATTATATAAAAATGAATATTTATTCGTAGGATTAGTTTTTAAATGAAATAGATGAACAAGTGATGATAAATCTTATATTAATAAGTTTCATTTTATCTCGAGTATCATTTCATATTATAAAGTATTATTTGAAACTTTAAAATATAATTTAAATTTTAAAATGTCTAATTTTATTTCAAACCTATAAAGTTCATTTTAGACTTAATTTACATATTAAAACGATAATCGTTACTTTACAGGTTTGAAATTAAAGAATACACTATATGTTTGAAATGAAACTTTGCAATGTAAAATGCAATATTATAATATAAATAATATATTAGTATAATAGATATTTGATCTTATAACATAATCATATTCATACCTAAGCATTAAATTCAATTTAACAGCTGGTGTACTGGATAATGGTACTCGATTCAGTGGATACGATTTTCATAATAATTATGAACCATACCCTCAAGCCATCGGACTTTATTCATCAGTTTAGTGAAAAAAGCAACTTTATATTAATAAATAAACTATGATTTATTTACCAACGAGTTGACCTCGTTGTCTTTGAATATATTCATAAATTAAATATAATATTTGTTCAACAAATTTAAAGGAAATTTACACAGAAAAAACTATAGAAATTATAGAGAACCACGATAACAGGAAGCCTTTTTTCATATATCTAGCGTTCCAAAACGTTCACAGTCCTCTACAGGTTACATTTTTACCAAAATAATATTAAATAGAAAAAATTTTATTATATAAATGAGGAGTGAAAACTAAAGATATGTTCGACAGGCCAGAAGCCCGAAGGAAATTTTTTACAGGCTGGACAGCTATTGCTAAATATTTTAATGGGCTGGTCAGCCCAAAATTTAATAAAAGTTAATTTTGTCAAGTAAATTTTTTATTTTAACCTTTTTATCAATAAAATTGATTTATGCCATTTTTCTTTACAAATTTTTTATGCCCCGGGTTGACACATATCAGGAGGAGGGGGGGGGGTGGAGGTAATTCTAGTAATCTTCCTCTATCTTTTTTTTATCTTAAGACGCTTCGGAACGGAAATATTTGTTTTTTGGACCTGTAATTGTGAAGACGAATAGTTATAATTGTGTAATATCCAGCCAGACACATAATTATAATTAACGCAATTACACAATTACACAATTGATGATTTTTATTTTTCTCAAATATTGTCTCTATGATGAATATACCATGTATATTTTCGAGTAGGTTTACCCATGACAATTGGTATTTCAACATTCTTTCATTTATGTTTCGATATCACAATCAAAATTTCTGCCACCTACATTAAAAATGAATAATTAATTTCATAACCCCTACTATTGTGTGACCTTAATGCACAGTTGATTGAATCGCCAATAAATGAGGTATAAACAGGTGGTCGTTCTTTTTAATAGGGAGAGCGTAGGTTTCATAAATTTGTCAAAAGTGAGATTTCTTATATGTGTACATATCCTCTTTACAACGAATAAAGCGATCTAGATAAATACTTTTATCAAATCTTCCCCATTCATTTTGAATATTGTAGGGGAACATTAGACCAAATAACATTCTCGAATATTGGAAATGCCCTAGGTGTATAATGATAGTGAAGTATTTTGGACTCTGAATTTATCGATAGAAAGCTGCAAATAGTAATTGTAGTAATATTATATATATTCTACTTCATATCTTAATGGTTTTTTATTTATAATATTATATTTTCTGTTTGTATATTGTTTTACGGCTATAAATGTAAAAGTTAATATAATGGGAAATTTAAATAATCAAATATGCAAAATTGATTTATAACTATATGAGATCATCAGTTAATAGATTATTTGTTTTTATCTTCAAAATACTATACGGAAAATTAACTTTTTGAATCATCACGTTTTCTCTATGATATAATTTACATTTGATTATTTGTTTTACTAAATAAATCGTTGTTCACGTTTAATTTTTATATAAATATAGTTGTACTGAGCTAATCCATATCTAAATTACAATAGTAATCCCCTGAGATGGCTTGACATGAAATTTTTCGCCTTCAATTCTAGCGATGATATTATTGGGATAACCCAATAAATTTGTTCTTTTAATGTGTATATTTTTAAATATTCTCGCAGCAATCAACAGCTGAATTTCGAGTTCTATGAGGCTTCGCGAGAGTAGAGGTTAAATCTGGCGGGGAAATATTTTGCTGGGAATATATATTCCATCTGTAATTCGAAGAAGAATTTAGCAACACTTCTAAACAGGTCTGATAATTGTTATAATAATAAATGGAAGAGTAGACTTCAATGAAACAACACTCCTTATGATCTGCTTTTTTATTATACTCCATTGATGTCTAACGAATGAATTAAAGTGTCTTATAAATAATATAAATAAATATTTAATTACAATAATTATGAAAAATTAAGTTGAAAATTAACTTAAAAGATTATTTAAAAAAAATAATTAGAAATCTAAGGGCAACAATAAATATAATATGATTAAAATAAGAATTATATTCGCAAATCAGTTAAAATCCTTACCAGCTTCTTTTGATATGTTTTAAAGACTTCTTTTGTTCTATTTAAGTTGAATTTTATAAATTTAAATATTACAACTTCTTAACGTACATAATTTATCTTTATTACAGATACCAAAAAATCGTTATGTACCTAGTTGTCAACATATTAAAAATGAAGATAGAAAAATATACTGTAGTAAATTTTTTTATACAAATCATTTATTTATTATTAATAATTGAAAGCCATATGGCTAAAGCTTAGATCGGTATACTAGAGGTGCATCTAGTGTCTCCAGGCTTGTTAATCGATCCTTTTAAAATGAAAAAAAGGATCGAAATCCAGGATCGATCTTTTTTTAAAAAAAGATTTGCGATAACGATCCTTTTCTTATTTAAATTTCTGATCGATGCAAAATTATCTAATATAAAAAATAAATAAATATGGTATAAATTTATTGTAATTGAATAATATAATATAAGTATAACAATTAGAATATTTTATAATTAAATTAGCCTTTAATAATAAATTTTTTTCTAAATTATCATCATTTAAACAACCACGTTTTTCATTAAATGTTTAGCTTTACTAAACAAGCGCTCCGGAGCGCTGGATTAGGTGTGTTATATTCAATAAATGTTTTTTTTTAATTAACATAATTATTAAAAATATTCACTGAATCATCATTAGAATAAAAAAAATTATTAATGGAAAAAGCATTTTGTGACGAGTTTTTCCCCAAAAAGGTATCGATCCATGCATTCATTTGAAGGATCTGCATATGGCTGACCCTTTTCTAAATGGGCAATTAACTTTTCTTTTAGCAACAAATTTTGTGGCAGATTAATAAAAGGCCAATTAAGCTTAAATTTTGGGTGAATTATTGATGCCAATATATTACTGTCATCATATAGTGAAGGAAATCTATAATTTTTATTATATGCATATTGTTATGATCTTCACAAATAATAAAAATTGTATTTTTAAAAGAATTAATTACTTCTAAATGCCTCTTTAGGTTTGAACTGCTAATGTTTGAAGATGATATTTTGTTTTTGCATAAAGAGCATTTTGCATAGATCATTGTATGGTTACTTCCATCCGTTTCACAGAAAGTAAATTCTCACGTAAATTATGAAATGGTAAAAGATTCTCATTCTCACTTATATCTGCTGTCACATCAATAGAACATTAGCGTATGCAGGGGGGGGGCAGGGAAACAAATCCCCCCCCCCCCCAAAGCCAAAAAATGCAGATGACGGATATATTTTTCAAAAATATTATTGTTTATATTAATTTATATTTGTTAGTATTTATTCATATCTCATATTAAATATATATTTAATTACATTTATTATCACATTTATCTACTTATTTATTTTATCAATTAATTTCGATTTCAAGTTTTCCGGCGTAATATTTACATATTATTTTCAAATTTTTAGTGCCGTAATTTATCTACCATTTTTAAATTTCTAGTCAAATAATAATTATTTCTGAAACTTGTTGTCCAACAGGGAAAAAAAAATTGCAACATTGTCCAACGAGATAGAGTCTCTGACATCAAGCAGTAATAGCTTTTAAGGAGTTAGAAGAGCCAATTATTTGCTATTACTGAAATATCACAATGACCTAAAAGAAATATTTCCTCAGAAGCAAGAAAATTATTGGATTCAATGCTTATTCCAAATTTTATTTCTCATTAGAATATATTATTTAATTATACAACTATTTTAAGTATTACTTTTCAAAAACATGACATTGACTTGATTAAGAAGATGAGAATAGCGAAGAGCATTTTATTAGAACTCAAGGAAATTAGGGCTAATGTTGATGAAGAATTTCATATTTTATATTTTTATGTTGAGTCAAAAGCAGAGCTATACTTGTTTAATATTTGTCTCCCTTGACTTGTAGCAAGGCAAGCTCATCGTTAAAACATTAATATAGGATCAGTAGAAGAGTATTTCTTCAGATACATTTATAACTCAAATAAATGAATTTTTAATTCATCATGCAGCACTTACTAATCTGCAAATATTACTTCCACAAAAGCCTTCCCAACCTTTTTCAGATGGCGATAGAAAAAAACAATTTGTTAGATTTTTATTATGAAGATGTTAAAGTATCTTATTATGCCTTGCTAGCTGAATAACTATGTTTATAAGATTAACTATGGTTGATATAGTCCCAAAAAATGCTATGGATGCTCTTCATTATTTCAAACATATTTTAGATTAAATTCTTAATGTAATAAAAGGGTTTATAAACTCTTCCCATTAGTAAACTAATGAGAGAACATTCTCTTTTTTAAGAAGAATAACAAATGCCTGCAGAAGTACCATTTGCAGGGCACGGCCCGATTTTTTTTAAAGATTTTTTACGGCCCGGTCTGGGTTTTTATAAAAAATTTTCCTGCCCGGCCCGGCTTTTTAAAAAAATTTTTTTAGGCCCGACTTGGCTTTTTTTAAAAATTTTTTAGGCCCGGCCCGGCCTTTTTTAAAATAAAATTTTCTGGCCCGGCCCGGATTTTTTTAAAATTATATTTATTTTTGATTTTTATAGCTAATAATAACGATTTCAAATATAGGCTGTTTTAAAAAATACAGCCCGGATTGGGTGTTTTTTTAAAATAATTCAGCCCCGGCTTGGGTGTTTCTTTAAAAAAATTTCGGACCCGGTCCGGGTATATTTAAAAAAATAAAATACTGTCTGGCCCGGGGGCCGGGCCTGCAGGTTTCTGAATAACATACCAAGAAGTACAACATCTGAAAGTAGATTGAAAGGTTTGGATCTTTTGAATATTCATAGGCATTTGACGACAAGCAAGGATGAGATAATTGAAAAATTAGCTCAATCACAACGAAGATTGGATTTGACATTGTAAATACATAACATACAAAATGCAATTATTCCTAAGAAACTGTTATTTTCATAGAAGGCAGGTAAAGAAAAAGAAAAAAATTTATTTTAAATCTTTTATTTAATTTATCTTTATTTTTATTACTATTACTACTGAAGATCAACTATATATATTATTATTTTTATACTATTTACATATATACAATTTACAATTTGTTTTAAGGTTACTTTAAGAAAAGTCACATTTACAATTTGTTTTAAGGTTACTTTAAGAAAAGTTATTTTAATGTTTTACATATACAAATACCATATCTTTTTTTAAAGGTCGCACAAAATATATTTCACAAAAAGAAATAAAGGTCATTAAAAAAATTTAAAAAGAAAGAAAAATATAAATTTTTTATATTCTAATTAACAGAAACTTTTTGTGTAAAGGCTCAAAAAATTCAAATTTCCATTTTGGGTCATTTAAGTGATTTTTTACATATAATTTTTTTATAATTCACATTAATTTAAAATCGTGTATTAGAAATAGTTATTAGTCCTAATAAATTTATGCTTGATATTTTTAAAAAACAATAATATTTCTTAAAAATTTTTATTATCCCCCCACCCCCCAGACCAAATTCCTGCGTACGCGCCTGCAATAGAAGTAGATGTATCATCTTCTAAATCTATAATGGATGACATTTATTATAATTAATAAATAAATATAACTTGTTCTTACAAAAAATTTGGGAATTTGTTGAAATATAAAATCTGTTGGAATGGTGGTTGATAAAATATGATGTAGATAGATATTTTTTAAATAATATTTAAATTTAATTTTCAAAATTTTTATTTTATTTATTGCTTTTTAAGTAAAAAAATAATTTTTAAAAGGATCGGGATCGAATATTTAAAAAAATGATAACGATCCACAATTTAAGGTCAGGATCTTAAATCCGAGAAAATTGACAAATTTAGGATCGAATTCGGGATCGGCGATCTTTTGATTTGATCCTTTAACAATTCTGAGTGTCTCTTATTAGGTATATTAAGGAGACTATTTTTTAAATAACACGTGTTTGTTCAGATTAGAGGTAGGCGCGGGCATAATATTTTATTCACGACCCGCCCACTCATGGTGACAATTAAAAAATTCAAGCCCTTTCACGCTTACTACTAAAAAAATTTGTCACGATAGACAGTATTTTTGACCATGCCCGTCACGCCTGAAAATTCAAGGTTTTTTAAAAAAATTTCAAAACTTAATTACTATTTTAGAAAAAGGAGTAAGGGAGACCAGGGCTAGTCGAGGCAAGGGGCTTGTCGGTTCAAAGGATTTTATTTACCAGTAAAGATTATGAATTGAAATTTAGTTCTAAAATAGAATTCTATAATATCCATATTTGGGGATGAAAATAATTTTAAATATTTAGCTATTTAAATTTTTATCTGTTATTACATGTTTTTGACTTTAAAATTACAATATTTTCACTTAATATTATTAGGTTGTTATTTTAAATGTAAAATTTTAATTTCCACGAATTTAAATAATATTTTCCATGACTTTCTTTATTCTTAATCATATATTTTTCATTTCAAGATTTTATAATCATAATCATAATTATATCTAATAATCATATTCAATTTATTCGCGATTTAATATCAATTAAATTTTACATCTCCATTTTATAAAAAATCACCAACTGATTCAAAAATTATTAACATCAAATTAAAATAATTTTCACATTTTCATAAAACATGAACATTAAAATTTATCTCGTATAATATATTTATCAAAAGTCAAAAGTAAAAAAGTAAACAAAAAAAATACCAAGTGTTTGAATATCAATTCTCGATAAAATAACTAATAAATAAAATATATTCTTTTTGATTGACATTTTATAATATATAAGTACAAATATATATCATAATAATACAAAACTACAACAGTTGTATTAAAAAATTAAAAGTTTACACATGACAAAATGGATATTATATGAAAGTTATATATCTATTTTAATATTTGGGAAAGTTTCAGATTGATATATAAGGCATAACTATATGTTAAGATCAAATTAGTAATATTACCACCATTGAGGTTAGTCGAATCGTGGCTAGTCGGCGCAATCAGTCAATTTTTATTATATTATTATGGTATCCACATATATATGCAAAATTCAAAATAGGAAAATTTTTACTAAAAAGGATTATGAAGAAGCTATAAACTGTATGAAAATGATATCTCATTAAGAAAAATACCACTTTTTACAGGTTAAAATATGATATTTTATAAATGTAATATATAAAATAATAACTATTCTATAAATTTATTAATGTGATTTTTCATAATACATTTCAATTTTAATATAATATCAGAACAAAATAAATATCTTGCAAACTAAAATCCTCATATATATATTGTGATAATATAATATATTTGTCACAGATATTATATATATTGCATATATAAATTTTAGCCTGATAATAAGATCCATTATTTAAAATGAATTATATCTAGAAAACAAATATATATATATATATCTCTATTTTAATTGACATATAATAAGATTCAAATTAATACATTTTATTAGATATGAACATTTTAGCATATAAATTTTAGCCTGATATTAATATCAATTTATTTAAAATGAATTATATCTAGCAAACAAATATTTTTATATATATCTATTTTAATTGACAATATAATATGATTCAAATTAATTTATTTTATTGGATATGAACATTTTAGGTATCAGATTATATTTTAGCCTGATAAAAAAATTAAATGATGTTATATATTTAAATATAGTTAGATAAATTATGAGTAAATTATTATTAAAAAAATTAACATTAATAAAAAAAATTAACATTAATAAAAAAAATTAATAAAATGTGTGCATTATATGTAAACAGGATTATAAAAGTTTTCATAATTTTGAAGATTGGTTTCAATGTAGAGTGGTTCTCTGCAAAAAAAGATTGTTATTTTATTTGTTATAATTGTATAGAAATATAAATAAAGTATCATAGATATATATTAAAATCTGAAAAAAAAACTTTTTGTCCCATAAGAAGCCTAATAAACCACTTGATTCGACTAGCCCATCGATGATCCGACTAACCACGGGTTCGGGGCTAATAGGTTCAAAAAATTACTTTTATTAAAACCTTTTTAGAGAAATAATTATTAAATATTTAAAAAATATAACAGTATATATTTATAGGTAGATGTTTAAGGTATCTATTGGTATTTTGTAAGATCTTATATGATCATTATTTTCAAAGCTATGATAATTTTGACAATAATTGCGCCGACTAGCCCTGGTCTCCCTTATCATGTTTTTTGATTATAATTGTGTTCGCCTTTCCTCTAGAGACTGTATAGAAAGTAACATTTCTCTAAAAGCCAAACTTGCCGGGGATAAAAATTTACTAGCTAATTTTCTCAAAAAGGAAATGAATTTTCCTGCTATCAAAACTTCAAAATATTGTCAGTTATTTGTTTTATTAGTGATAAATAAATCAAAGCTCATCCTCACAACTTTCATCGGTAGACGTTGATGCTTCATCAGAATAATCTAGAAATTCTCTAAATGTTTCATTTACAGTATACAGCCTTTTATATGTGCAGGATGAATTTTAAAAAAAGTAAATGATAGTTGGCATTGACTTATGCATATCATCTAATTTATATCATTTCGCATTTTTAAGGTTGTTTTATATATAATCTTCCTATATTATGACTTTTTAAATTCGGATCTAGAATTAAGCCTACCTTATTTAATAACTACATAAAAAATCTTTAGTTTTAAAGAATATCCTGTTTTTTAGAGTTTGAATAAGGTTAAAAATTTTTTAATAATTAGCTCAGATTATCTGAACTTATCTTTTAATATTGATAAAAATTTTAGCAAAGATAAATGAAAATATAATATATTTAAATTAAATTTATTTATTACCAAATTTCGAAAGAGAGTTGATAAGATTTATTATTTTTCTTTCAATTGAAATATTTTATAAGGCGGAAAAAAATGTTGTTAATAAAATGCGAAAGTTTATTTGTTTTCAAAAATTATTCTTTTTTTAAAAAGAACTTAATTAAATTAGAAAAAAATATATAATATAATTTTATGATTACAAATTTATATTCATAAAAAAACAATTTCTAAAATTAACATTTCTGTGATTCACTTAAAATTTATGTTCACGCTCGGTGAAAATTTTGAGAAGGCCCGTCACACCCAGTCACGCCTAATAATTTAAAATATATTCTCACTCACGCCGTGGCCCATCGTGTCACGCATGTTAACCATGAAAGAATTCTAAAAGTGCTTTCATAGGGTCTTTGAAAATTCCAAATTAAATGTGCAAAATTTACTTATATTTCATATATTATATTTTAAATCATCTTATATAATATGATTATTATTTTAAAATTTCCAATAATAATACAATCAAAGGAGTTATCATAAAAGTGGCTAAAAATTAATAAAATTAGTATCAAAAATCTAAATTTTTTGTCTTCTAAATTAAAACAGAATTTTAAATTATTTTTTCCTAACATTTTTAAGAGCATTAATTTCAATATTATTATTTATTATTTAATTTTTAAAATTTTTTGATGATATTGATATTGGTAATGATAAAACACTAAAATATTAAAACAACTATATAAAAATATGTAAAAATATATAAAATTACTAAATAAAAATATATATTAATAGTATCGAAGGCTCTAAAAAGAGCTTAATTTAATAATGAAAATGTACCTAAAAAACAAGTATATAATTGTGTTTAAAAATTTCCAATTGAAGTTTTTGTTTAAGACGCGATTTTCGTTTGTTATGCTAAAAATTTTTCGTGATAAAGTTTTTAAAAAAATATATGTAGACTGTGAAAAATTGTCGTTAGTTGAAATGACTATTGGCTGAAATATATTATAATTTTTTTAATTTAATTGGAATATATTACTTTTTTCAAAAATTGAGATCGGACTTGGACTTATTTCTATGGCCGCATTCACAGTGGGATCCGATCGGAAACGATTTAATAGCAGATCAATTTTTAAAATTTGGAGTTCAATTTTTCTTTATTTATTTATTATATTTTTAATTGTTCATAATAATAATTTAAGAAATATTGATTTTAATAAAGAAAGTAAAAATCGATCAGCTGTTAAATCGTGTCAAATCGGATCCATGGCCTAAAGCAAAATTTAGAATCAGACTCGCATTTTTGCTAAAAAATTCTTGAATCAGTTAGACAAAAATTTATTAATTTTTTCTTGGGATCAGGTCAGATCTGAAAAAATATCGATCAGGGTTCTAATATATATATAAACATCCATTTATCTTTTCATAGAGTTTAAGATTTAGTCTTAATGATAAGTTATTGTCAGGATGGCTAAGATCGACTTATATATTTTCTCAAATATATTTAGATTAAGAATTCTTTATAAATAATTGATGATATATTATTATTTTTTTATTTTTATACAATAGTTGAGACTTAAAATTTTAAAAATGAAATTATTAGGTATGGTGGCATACGTTGATTTATCGATGGGCAGAATTGTGAGAGCTTTACAAAGGGAAAATCTTTATAATGATACTTTGATAGTTTTTACATCTGATGTAACAATTTCATATTTTATATAAATATATACGTTTTTTTTAAAAATAATTCCATATTTATTAGTAGACTTCCGAATTTATCACTACATAATTATATTTAAAAAAGTTATCATTTTCCAAACTAATAAAATGGGAACTTTTAAATAATGGCAACGAATGCAAGTGAAAACAAAAAATAGCTTTATTTTAAAAACATTATGTTAATGTTATATCGCTTATAAAATAAATAATTAAATAAAAAATATTATTTTTACTCTTAAAAGACTGCAAAGGTATTCCCATTTGCAGGCCAATTTTTTCTTCATTTTTTATTCTATAGTTGATGAACTTTCTATTTTATTTTTATGCATATCTTGATGTTTAACATTTGTCTCCGATGGGCAAATGTTAAAAATGAATCTTAAGATGTTTACATTTCCTATAATTCGAAATATATTGATAAACCCTGTTTTTATTTCTATATGATTATATTTAAGTTTTTTTATGAAATTAAAATCTAGAATTCAAAATCTTTCTCTCTGAAATTAATAGAGTATAACATCGATAAAACATTTTTTAAGGAAACAAAAATTTTAATATTATATGTGAAAAACTTTAAAGGGAGGAAATATGTATTCCATCTAGAAATCTGCAAAATTAGGCCCTGCCCGTATTCGGCCACCCGAATCGGGTTGGAGCTGAGTCAGGCCTAATATTTTTAAAAAAATTTGAAGGGTCGGGTCGGGCCTTGGGAATTTTTTTAAATATATCTAAATTTATCAATTATATGTTGAATTTTTTATGTAAAATAAAAATATTTGATTTTTTTATAGAAGCTAGACGCCATATAACATACATCTTTTATATTATAAAAATTAATTTCTATATTTAAGTAAACTACTCCATGATAATTAGCACTATCATTAATATAATTTATGATAATTCTTTTCTTTAATTAGAACAAAATATCGATTTATTCTTTAAATTAAAAAAATTATATCAAAATTTTTCATGTTTAATTTAAACGATTTCATATTACAATAAACCTCCATGACCTGTCTGCGCAAAGATTCTATGGAGTGATACGAATAACAATTCAAGTTTTTAAAAAACTTTACTATTTTATGCGAAAATAAATATTTACTAAAAAAGTTCTAATTAATTAAATTGTTATACATTTTTTATGAACTTAGAATGGTGGTCAAGTGTTGCAAGGTGGTAACAACTATCCCCTAAGAGGTAACAAAGGCACATTATGGGAAGGCGGAATACGAGTCGCGGGTTTTATTCACGCCAAATTTCTAAAATTGATAAAAGGATATGTTAGAAATAAGTTAAATTCACATTTATAATTGTAGAGTATTTTTTGAGAGATTTTAAATTTTATTATTCTCGATTCAAGATTTTAAACCCAATAAACCTTGATATTCCACCCTGAGCATAATAGGTTGCTATAGTATATATAACAACTTCTAGTTAAGTAGTGTTAAATAAATGTTATTATGTTTTAGGTTTCTTCAATAAATTTTTTTATTTTAACAAAACAACGCGAATCATTTAATAGATTAATTCATGCTGTTGATTGGTACCCAACTTTTGTAGAATTAGCGGGAGGTAGCGCAAAAAGTGGTCATTCCATTTCTGATCCAAAAAAGAAATCCTTAAAAAGTGATGGCGTAAGTCAATGGAAGAGTATAATTGATAGAAATGTCCCGTCACCTAGAAATCATTTTTTGATTAATTTGATGTTACAAAATAAGTATTTCGCTGGTATAAGGTTTGATAATAATATTATATACATTCTTCTAATTAATATAACATGGTATTCGTTACTCTAAGATACAAAAATTTTAAACTTTTATTGGGTAATCCTGGAGACATGGATGGTTGGTATGAACCCAATACATCAAATGAAAGTAAAAAGAAAAAGAATTCACTAAGTAAAAAAATATAAATATAATTACCATTAATATTCATATATATTAAATTTTCTTTAGATGAATCATCCCGACAAATTTCAATTAAGTCGACCAAAAAGGTTATCTGTACATATAAAAAGAACACTCCCGAGTTAGATAAATGTAGGAAAAAATTGCTAACGAATAGCCCCATAATTTGGTATTTTAACATCAAAAGTAACACCCTTTAAATTTTGAAAAATTAAATTTTGCATATTCAACGAATGTTAAATTCATCTTAGGCATGATATGATTCGAAAAATAATTACAATGAATTGGATAAATTAAACAATTCTTTTAAAAAAGAAGGCCGCTATAAATATAGTCACTGTATTGTTAATCGGCTCGATTTTGCCAATTTTAAATTAAAATTTTAGCCAATAATATTACGCAAACCTTGGGATTTTGTTAATAGATGTCCTTTTAAAAATGGAGCAATTTAAAAACACTCTTCATAACATTTCCTTTAGGGATGACCTAGTTTTATATATGCCAATTTTTTATCTAATAAAATTCTGAGAGTAGAACATAGAGCGATTGCATTTTATTTTTGTTATAATCACTAATATTATATTAAAACAGAGAAAAGAACGTTAGTCCACTCCAATTATAATTTAAGCCATTAATTTATAAGACTAGAAATTTAAACCTATTATAGCTAATTTTGTCATTAAAGATTTAAAAAATGTGTAGTATTTTAATCTAAAAAAAATAGTTTCAAACTTTATTGTTTAAATTTAGAGAGAAAGTTTTTAAAATCTTAATAAATAAATTTTAGGAAAGTTATAATCCTATTTTTTAATCTGACAATTTTTCAGAATCAAAATTTTTTAATTAATATGACACTTATGATATTTATAAAATTAGTGGGCTAGGTCATGGTTGGCCATAGGATAGTTGGTACTAATTATTTCATATTTATTTTTTATTTTGATTAAAACAAATGCAAATATTTTTCAATGAATATTTATCAATCTAAAATATTATTTCTTAATATAGGGGAGACTGGGGTTAGGTAAACCCCGGGGCTTAACAAACCACTTAATCTCATTTTAAAATTAAATATATTAGAAGGTTATAATTTATCATAATATAGTTTTTATTAGTTTACATCTATAATCTTTTGAAATATTTAATTAATAAATTTTATTTAAGAAATAAAATTTTGATGAAATTTTCAAAAGATTTTTACATGATAGAATTTTAATTTTTATTAAAATATATAATTATTTATATGTAAATTAAATTTTATAACAAAGTTTAAACACTCTTCTATAATTTGGGAAAGTTTTATGTGTATTTATTGTATTTAGATATTATTTCAATCATAATTTGTCAATTTAGAGCTAGCGGGGGTTGCTAAACCATACACGTCAGTTATGGCAGTTAATAATGAAAAAAATTTCAAAATCTTGAAAAAACAATTTCATGGCTGTTTTATAAGTTGTATTTAGGATTTATGCTAAGAAATCATAATCTCACCTTAAGATCCTTATTTTTTTATGTCCAAAATGTTTATTAAATTAACCAAAATTAAGTTCAATTTTTGTATATAATTATTATTTATAAGTATTATGATATTTTGAAAATAAAACAATAAAATTATTCTATACGTATCATTATTAATAAATAAAAATGCATTTCGATTTATTATGGCTTAAAAAAACCAATGATTTAGGAAGCCCCTTGAAGTGGTTTGCCTCACCCACTATTGGGGCTTGTTGGACAAAATTTTCACTTTTACAAAAAATAAAATTTAAAAAAATTGATTATATTTTTAAAATTTTTTATAAGGCACCTTTATAGAGTATAGTGTTAGGTATCTAATCATATGTTATTCTTTATGTTATCTAAAAAACCAGAAGCTTTAGCCAATTTTGTAAAAATTGATTCGGCTAAACCCAGTCTCCCTTAATCCTGATTTAATTTTCTTACGTGCACGTGAGCATTCTTTGTGTAAACTATGATATATTCCATTTTTGAAATGGTGATATTTTATATTTGTCTTGTACCTTATTTTAAAACATGATGCTATATTTATGATATACTATCCTTTTTCAGCGCGTCAATTATTATAGCCAAAAATATTAATAAAAAAAAATTTGATTACCAAAGAGAAATAAAAATTAAATGAAATCTAAAACATAAAAAGTCAAAAAATTGTTATCTAGGATGAAAAAAAGAAAATGAATTGTTAAAAAGGGTTTATAGAGATCGCAAAAAGTTAGAAATAAAATAAAATGGAAAAATAAAAAAAAAATGAAAATTTGACAAACCATTGTTTTTAAAATGGGACTTATTCTTTTTTTGATTGGACCTTTTTCCTTTTTGTTTGACACTTTTCCTTTTTTGATCGGACTTTTTTCTAAGCCCTTGGGACTTTTCCTATTTTGATGACACTTCTTTTTTTTGATCAGGACTTCTTTTATAATTTACCTTTTTCTTTATTGATCGGACCTCTTCCTTCTTTTCCTTTTATGATTTACCTTTTTTTGATTGGGCCTTTTCCTTTTTTGAATGGAAAAACCTGTAACTATTTCAAATAGCCTATACTTTTAAGATTGGAGATGTTTTATGTATTCAGATTAGTCGAATATTAAATTTATTTAGGTTTGACCGAAAAGTGTCTCAACCATCCCTTCCTATCAAAAATTTAAGTTAATTATTAAAAATAAACTTATAAGAGCAGTGATGTTTTTAAAATTTAATCATAGAGTAAAAAGAAAAAAGGATGAAACTTTAATTTTAATTATTTATTAATCTCTTTCTAGAAGATCCTTATGAAAAGAAGAATATCGTTAGAAGAGATGAAACCTTTTTTAAGATGTTAAATCTATTATTCATGTATGGAAGATCTTACAAAAGGCTTACTTATAAAAAATACAACCCTAAAGGAAACCCTATTCATTTTAATGGATTTTTCAATTTTGGCTGGTGTGATGCATTTTAATTTTTTTAATATTTTTTTTTGAATCGAATGATTTATGTGACAGGTATCTTACATAGTTCAAAAAATTATATCAATGTCTTTCTCTAATAAATATTAAACGGTTAAAGAATTATTATTATGAACATTGTGTGTGCTAAAAATATCATTACACTATAAAAAATTGTTAGACAATATGAAGATTGTATTCGAAAAACATTTTATAATAATTTTATCGACCGCCAATTTTATAAATAAATTTACTATCTATTTATTTGATGCGTTTTTTGAAAAATTACGCCAATTGTATCCAAAAAATATTTTTTAAATTATAAACAAATATACATGATTTATTTTTATAAATATCAACCTCGCAAGAACTTGCCATTTATATCTGTAAAATATATTTTTTAATTGTTCCAATATTTTAATATAATATATATTCTCAATTTGAATATTATATTTTATACATTGATAATGAGACAGTATATGTATCGGGCCCCCCCCCCCCCTGTAAATAATATAAAATTATAATTATTTCGAAGAAATATAAAAGGTTTTCAAATTTTAACAAAATGTTAAAAATTAATTTAAATATATTTTTTGTTAACAGATTTTTAGCTCATTTATATATCAGAAATAGATTTTGTGATGGTTTACTATCGATATGTATATATAATCAATCCATGACTGTCATATTTTGGAAGGGCCTACTTTGATCGTAAACTTTTTATCTTAAAATGGACGATATCATTATAATATTAATTTTTATGCAGACAATTATTATATTCATGCATTTATTTAATATATCATTAATTTCAAGTTATTTTTAAACAATATTTAAGATATAATTCTAACTTATAGCGATTAAATTGTCCACTCAAACAAGGATGAATTTACGTTCAAATGACTTTAGTTAGGCAAAGCCTGATTTTGTATCTACTATGGAAATAAATAGAATGTATATTTTGATCACATTTATAATTAGGGCTATATTCTATTTTAAATTATAAGAAAATGTTAAAAGTTAATTTAAATATTTCATCCTTGTGTATTAGTATATTTCTCCACGTAAATTTAAAGTATATTTTTATACATTTTTTAAATATTAAACACTGATTAGAAAAAAATCGTTAAAATATAAGCGACTCAATTTAGGATTACTAAAAAAACCGTTTTATTCAATTTTTAGATATATTTTTGTCTCAAAGCAATGAAGGATTTGTGATTTATCAATGACTATATCCAATTTATAAACCCGTTACCTAGAAACCCTGAGAATATATTAAATTTTGACTACGAAAAAAATTAAATATTTAATTCAATTTTGTAATTTCAGAATTTAAACTTGGTATGCAAGATTAATTTTAGTATTTGGAGTTTTTTCCAAATATATTAAAATTACCAATACAAATTAGTAAAAGCACAAATGAGAGCACCTTTTCTTCATTAAGGATGGTAAAAAAAA